CGGGGGCGGGGCCGATGAGGCCCGTATCCAGGAGGGACTCTGAGGTGGGCGTGGCCTAGCAAACTGGGCTGTCCTCCAAGGGCGAGAGAAGAAGGCCGGGAAGGCAGCCGGGACCAAGGCGAGGGCGTGGCCTAGAGCCGGGCTCTCAGCCACTGAGAGCCGGGGAGGCGGAGCCGCCTGCAAGTGGCGGGAAAACTGGACCCTGGTTGGTAGCTCGTGGGATTCGCAGGGCGAGGAAGAGGGGCGGCGGCCAATGGAAGAAGTGGGAATGGCTTTTGAGATTCTTCCTCCCCACACTTGTTCATGGGCTCTGTCCTCCTGATTCCGTCTTCTCTCAACACCCTCCTAGGTATTTTCGGATCTCATTCAGTACTTACTTTCCTAACTCTTTCTGTCAACCTTCACTAGGTGCGACTCTGCCTGTCACCACGTGGACGCTGGCAATACAAAGATGAGTCCAAAAGTCCTAGCCATAAAGTCCTTGCTCATCTGTGCAGGAGGACAGACTAGAGCTATGTGCTGTGTGATGTTACGTGCTATAAATTCCTGAATAGCTCACATTCTTCATCTCCAATTATTGCCACTGCCTTATCTCAAGTCCTCAGCATTTCTTGGCCTAAATTATTTCAGAAGTCTCTAAAAGCGTCTCTCTCCCAGTCCAATTCTTTTCCCACTCTCTGCCAGTTACCTTCCTAAAATCCAAATGTAACTATATCCCTTGCTTACCATCCCTCAAACTTGCCCTCTTCTATAAGACTACATTTAAGCTCCTTAGACTATGTACAAGGCCCTGCTAAATTTGGGCCTAGTTTCAACAATCTTCTGAAAGTCTCTCTTTTGAAAGCCAGAACCCCAATCATGCTGAAATACTTTGCTCTGCCTTGTCTTCAGGTCTTTGCATATATTTTCTGTCTGGTATTCTCCTCTGATTCACTTTCCAACAGTTAGTTCAGATGTCACCTGCTGTAGGAAACCTAGAAACACATTTCCAACTCTCCTTTCCCCAGGTAGGATGTGGTCCAGAGCTGTCTTACAACAGCCAGGACGTGACTGTTGATAACAGCTTATGTCACGGGGTTACCATTGTTTGTTTAAAAGTCTGTCTCTCCCATTAGATGGTGAAATTCTAAAGAATGGGAAACTTGAGCCTGACACAAAGGTGGACACATACTGGATACTCAGTAAATGCTTGTTGAATAAATGAAGATCTACGAAAATGTTCATGGAAGAGAAAGTGAAATCTTCATTCCTTTTCCCCAACTTATTTATTACCCTTCTTCCATTTCACAGAACTTCTCATAAACAATGTCTAGTTAATCTAATCTCCATCTGACTATCCTCCATCCCGTGCCTCTCTGATATTCCCCGACTTAATTTTTTAAAGTCAGGGTCTTGCTCTGTCGCTCAGGCTGGAGTGCAGTGGTGTGATCATGGCTCACAGAAGCCTCGAATTCCTGCGCTCAAGCCATCCTCCTACCTCAGCCTCCCGAGTAGGTGGAATTACAGGTGTGAACCACTGCACTCGGTTCCTTGACTTTACTGTAGTTACCCTCGGATTGTTTCATTTCCCTTTCAGTTTTCCTTTCTGATCATTTCTCAATTCCTGCCATAGGCTCTCCTTCCTTTTCTTATTAAAGATCCAATAAACTTATACATCTCACGCATTATATAAGGCACGCAGATACCTTTTTAATTAAAAACCAGTTATTCTCTACTTCCTAAGCACAGGAGTGGAGAGGCCAGATGGGAAACTGACTAGCTTGGGACCACAGTATTACAACTTCTCAAGGGAGAGTTGGCCAGAGGTGGAAGAGATGATTAAGATAGTTCATGGGGCCAGACACAGATTCCTGAGGACCCCTTTTAGGGTACCCTATTCTCCATCCCTCCACCTTTCCTACACGGCCATGTCCCCACCCCCACGCGTGCATCACTTTTGTTCAGGACAAAAGGTGGCAGCCTCTCTTTGCTTGGGTTAGGTAAACCAAGTGTTCGAAGAAATGGTTATTTTTCAGGGTGTGCTATCTATCAAGCCTCACTAAAGTCAGGTTTGCGGAGCAGCGACACCCTGTAAATGACAATCGTTTCTTTTAAATCTCCAAACCTAAGCCGCGCAAGTCTCCCTGAAAAGGGTAAAAGACCGAGGAGGGATGGAAAGGCCAGGAGGCAGGACGTAGCGAGCCTGGTAAGCTTCCAGCACAGCCCTGCGGACCCTCCTCACCCCCATGAACTTCCGCCCCCAGCACCCCCCGGGCTCTTACAGGCGGACGCCCGCGAGCTACGTGAGCACGTGGTGGCGCGCGCGGCCCTGGGGGCGGGGCCCAGGGGTAGCTGGGAAGCGACGCTGGACGTGCGTGCGTGCTACGTGCTCGCTCACGGCGGCGGCGGCGGAACGGAGAGGCCAGAGCCGGAGACCGAGCTGGGATCGGGCCCCGGGCGGGGGCGGTGCGAGCGGCTCCTAGCGGATCTCAGGGGCGGGCACGGAGCCGGGGCGGGCGGGACTGGAGCAGAGTCCGGGCACGGGGCGGGAGGTCCCAGGGTCCCGGGTTGGGGGGGTGGAGCCGCACTTCGTCTCCGCGGGGGTGCCGGGACTCCGGCCGCAGTGCCGCCGCCATCACGGACTTCCTGTGGGACAAGCGCACGGGCCTCGCCGCCAGAACGGTGAGCGCGCGGGCTGACCGGCCGCGGGGCCGCGCGGAAAGATGGCGACCGCGGGGCGGGGATAGGATTGGATTGGGGGCAAGGGACGGGGGCGAGAGGAGGAGAGTTGGGACCTGCGGAGCGGCAGAGTAGGGCGATGAGGGGGAAGGCGGTCGGCCTGCCTTCGATGTATCTGGGAAGACCTATAGGAAACTTGGGAGGAGCCAGAGTAGGAGAAAGAGTGTAGGGCAGGCACAGGAGTGGTTTCAGAGGTGTGAAAGAGTGGATACCAAAGTTAGACCAAAGACTCCTCGAAGCTGGAGAGGGGGAAGGCACCACTGTGTCGCTTCGAGCTTGCAGGAAGAGTTTGGCTTTGAGAACTCGTTTTGGATTTTCTGAGTAAGAAAGGGGGAAAAAAAAAAGATTTCGAAGTTAGGAAAGGTAGGCAGAGATGCTTTGTGGAAAAAGGCCTGCGAGGCCCTTTGCGGTGAGATGGCATTTGTGTGGCTGTGCTAATTAGGCTTGCATTACCTGAGAGAATCTTGTGCTTGCATCTTTTTGGTTTTCTAGTGGCTTCAGTTAGGCCAGGAAGGCATCAGATATCACCCTCCTTAATTTCAGGAGGTTGGGAGAAAGTGGCCCAGAGTGAGAGCCAGATGTTGGAGTCATTGAACTTACCTGGTCCATGCACCCAAGACTTCTGTCCCAGGACCTGTTTCATTTTATTCTGCCCTCCTCTTCTCATCTTCCAGGATTGTGACAGTGGTTTATTTTTTTCTTTGAAGGAAAAAAAGGATTCGTGAACCATGCCATTCCAATGCCATTAACTGGAAGATGGCCAACTCTCAGCCAAGTAGGGCTGATATTAATTAAAAACCAGTTATTCTCTACTTCCTAAGCGCAGGAGTAGAGGGGCCAGATGGAAGGCTGACTTGCTTGGGACCACAGTATTAAGGCCTCTCAAGGGAAAGTTGGCCAGAGGTAGAAGAGATGATTAAGCTAGTTCATGGGGCCAGACTCAGATCCCTGGAACTTGATAGTATTTGATATTTACCTGGTATATGTAGAAATCTGGGAAACTGGATTTCTTCCCTCAGGACACTGTTGTTGGGGAGGTAAGATACTTTCTTAATGACTGTGTAACATTTGTCACAACTATGTAAACTAAAGCTTTATTTTGTTAGCTTTTGAGGAACTCAGAATAGCATGGTTCTATATCTTAGATCCCAGCCAGGGATGAACTGTGGCAGTCTCCATCAGTCACACTTGCCTATAATGAGCTTTGTCTCAGACCTGAAGCTCTTCAGGGAGTCATTTTGAGGAAATTCAGGATAGAGCAATTGAACTGAGTGGGGGATATTGAGGAACTTGGTGAGAGGGATGCTTTCTAGATTTTTTGACCAGAGTTAGTAGGTGACTATACTCCAGTAAGGAGGGATTGTGAGCACAGAGGAAGACTGAAGAAGTTGTGAATGGCAAAAAGAGATAAAAATAAAAAGGCAGAAAGCAGTTTAGTATCTTTGGAACAGCCAGTTCTTGGAGGAGACTTCTGGAAACTCAAGAGTTTTTGCTCCTATTTCTGTTTTTCCTTCCCTTCCAGATGCCTCATCCTCGAAGGTACCACTCCTCAGAGAGAGGCAGTCGGGGCAGTTACCATGAACACTATCGGAGCCGAAAGCATAAGCGACGAAGAAGTCGCTCTTGGTCAAGTAGCAGTGATCGAACACGGCGGCGCCGGCGAGAGGACAGTTACCATGTCCGTTCCCGGAGGTGAGGCCTGAGGAAGGAAAACTTGGACATAGGGTCATTTGCTCATTTATTTGTTCAACAGATATCTATTGGTTACATGCTGAGGGCGTTGTGCTAAGCAGCAGGCTGAAGGTAATGTTCAAGGTGGATGACAAAATAAGTCACTTGCACTGCAGCGTTAAGAAGTGTTACGGGCCGGGCTCGATGGCTCAACCTGTAATCCCAGTGCTTTGGGAGGCCGAGGCAAGTGGATTGCCTGAGCCCGCAGGT